ACCACAGACGCAACCACACGGCGACACCGACCAGCTAAAATCTTGGACAGGATCTTATAGTCCACATTCAACAAAGTAATGGGTCTCCAGTTCGAGAAGAACCGCAAATCGCCCGGCTTTGGGAGCAGTCGCACAATCCCAACGCACTGAGACACAGGCAGAACGCACCCCCGGAGGCAAGTCCGGACCACCTCCAAAAGAACATCACCCAACACATCCCAAAAGGCAACATAAAACTCGACAGGAAGACCATCCGAGCCCGGCACCTTCCCGGAACGAAACGACCTCACCACATCGAAAAGCTCCCCCAACGAAACATCTTCCTCCAAACCAACACAATCAGCAGCAGACAACCCCGGAGCACAACCACCCAAAAAACCTTCCGCAATCGCGTCGTCCCCTACCACCTCCCCATAGAGCGCAACCAACTCCTGCCGCACATAATGCAACACACCACCGGTGTCCGAAACAACGGACCCATCCGGTCGTTGCAGAGCCGTAAAAAGAACACCGTCCCGCGCAGCCTTCACCTTCCCTAAAAGATAAGGAGAGAGCTGTTCCCCGTCAACACGTTCACTCACACGAGCACGCACACGAACACCCTCGGCCCACTCATCCCGCAAACCACAAATACGCTCCTTACACTCCGCAATCTCCCCAAAACAGTCAACCCCAGCATTGTACCGCACATACAACCGCGAAAGCCTCGCCTGGAACAACCGCAGCAACCCAAACCTTCCAGCAGCCTCACGTTTGGCAGCTACCCGAAAAAACAACCGACATTGCTCCTTACACCACTCCCACCAATCTAAAACAGAAGGAAAGTCACACCGCCGGGCGAGAACCCCGACCCACCAAACCCGAAACTGCCCACAAACCCTCGGAGAACGCAACAACCCACAATTCAGCTTCCACCACCCGGCGCCGACCCGTACCTGACTGGGCACACCAACCCGGACCACCACGAGACTATGGTCCGAGAAAGCAACCGGGACAGTGTGGAAAGCAAACACAGAACACCCCCCGCCAGTAACATACACTCGATCAATCCGCGAACGCGCCCCATGCGCAGCAAAAGTAAAGGACAACTCGCCCCCATAGAGCACAGCAGCATCCTTGAAACCGCAAGAACACACCACCTCCTGCAGCGCACCCGAGACATTCTGCGGGCGGGCGCTACTACAGTCCCGCGCACTCGTCACACAGTTAAAATCACCACCAAAAACCATACTCCGCGTATCATGACGCAGGAAAGGGAGAAGCCCCACCCGAAAAAACTTCTCCCGTTCCCGACGGCGAGCCACCCCCGAGGGGGCGTACACCGTCAGGAACGGAAGAACGACCCCCAAAAACTCAACCCTTACAAACAACACCCGCCCATCTTCATCCATCTCCGTGTGAAGCACGGAGAAGGAAGCCCTCCTAGAAAACAACATAAGCGTCCCCCCGAAGGACGTCCTCGGCAGGTTGAGCACAACATGAAAATGCGCACTTAAACACTGCAGCACAGACACCTCACGAACATTATGCTCCTGGATCAGAGCCACATCCACACGGTGCTCCTGCAGAACATCCAACAGGCCCAACTGGACCCCAAGATCATTTAAACCACGAACATTCAAAGACGCACAGACAACAGAGGGCGCCATCGGGAGAACCTCAGGACACCCCCAACCCAACGCGTCCCCCAGGGGACACAACCGTACCCGCAGCAGGAGCCACATCCACACCACCAGGCTCAACCCCCTGCCGCACCCTGGAAGACGACCGGCCAGGAACCGCCTTCAAAATCACAGGAGACACACCATGCGAAGAGGGCGCCCCAGGCGTCGAGGACACCATCCACAGTTTTCCCACTGCCTCCGCCGCCCCGAGCCCGACACCACGCTCAATGCCCCGCTCATCCCCAGATCCCGCTTCCGAAGGGGGAGGAGGAACCACTGGAGAAGCGGAGGGAGGAGCACCAGCCAAAGGCACACCACCCGAAGCCTCGATCCTCTTCCCAGGGGGGCCCCTGCTGTGCGACCGATCCCTCGGAGCGCGCTTTCGTCGAGGAACAGAAGTGCCCAATGCAACCACAGGAGGCACAGCACAAGCGACAGCAGGCAGCTGCGCCACGGCACCAGCATCAGGAACACCGCTAGGCTGGCCGTCAGGAGACACAGTATCAACACCGCCCCTGGCCTCGGGAAGCACACTGGCCACTGCACACGGGTCGCCCGCCGGCACCACACCACACACGTCGGATTCCAAGGAGACACTCGGGTCGCGATGTACCTCCGCCGTCACCAGCATAGGCGCACCCGAAGCAGGAGCCGCGAGAGCATCAGAGTCAACAGACAGAGCAGATGACCCAGCAGCAGACGGAGAGGTAGGGACAGCTGGGGACGACGCCTCCAGAGGCACACCCTCAGAGCCCGGGCCCACTGGGGGCGCCCCAGCCTCCGGCAGAAGTGGAAAATCATCCACATGGAAAACCGATGGGTCCTCCGGGCGAGGGGCACGGCAAGCTGCAGCGAAATGGCCGACCTCACCACACCGGAAACAGGAGCGAGTCTGCCCCTGGTAGAACACACGCACATAAAACCCACACACAGCCACCCGAGGGGAAATAGCCCCAGAGAGCCGCATGCGCAAAGTACGGGCACCCATACGGAGCCCCTTCAGGCGCCCACTAAGCAGACAGGCATGACGCTGCCCCACCACCTCACCATACCGACGCAACGCGGCGGACAGCTCATCCTCAGGAAACTGCACCGGCGCACCATGAACGCTCACATACGTCAGGGGGCCCCACGGATCGGAGACCTCCACCGTCACAGCAGAATCGGGAAGTACATGCGTCCGTGTACCCCATCGACGCACAAACAGCTGATACACCTGCGCCGAGGAGAACGTCACCGCCACCCGGGTAGGGGAAAGTTTCTCAACACCGTAGAGATCTTGGTACTCCACACGCATGACGTCCATAAGGGCAACCTCCACCAAGGGCCAGTCAACGGGGGCCGAGAAATCAAGCCGGGCGGTGTCGACCCGGCGAACACGGCCACCACTAGTCGACGCCATGACACCCGCCAGGCCCCGGCCAATGGCCGCACCACACCGTCAACAAGACGACCACCACGCAGCAGTTACAGGTCAACACTGACAGCCCGGGCCGAACGTCAGCGCCCTCCGGTAGCAGAGCGGCGAATCCCTTTCAGGAAGTCAAAGTAATTAACCTCGATCCTTGTTTGATCGACTCACATGAAGGCTCCATTGTTCCATTAACGTAACGTCGTTATTTATCTGTCCGGAAGTACCGGCACTTGATTGACTGGTGGGAGGAGTAACGTCATTTTAGAATAACGTAAACGTGGTGCCTAATTACTGTTATTAGCCACCTGAATTGGTCTGAGTTTGGAAGGCTCAGACGGAATTCATACCTCAATGTAAATTGCTGAGCCAGTGTGAAAGGTTGTGTATTTAATTGTTTAATTTAATTGTACTTAATTTAATTGATCTTGAGGATAATAATTAATTACTCTAAAGGTAATCACGAGTGAATGCCGTTCTCTTAGCACGTTGGAGATTGTAAATCAGAGTTTACCATCGCTGAGTGATTAGTAACCGAATAACGTAAATTAACGTAACTAGTAAAGAGATTAATCAGCTCTCTGGTAGAACAGGGATTAATGGTATTTACTCACTGAATGCTCGACGGGTAGCGTGTTGTGTAATTTCCGCGTTACTTGTGACAGTTGTAAGAGTTATTAAATTAACGTAAATGTTATTTTGTTATTAGCGTAAATCAAATTGTTATTGATTGTTGATCGTCCGTGGGACGGAGTGTTAACGTAAGGATTAATTTGAGGAAGGGTTGCTGGAGTTGCCAGTCAACCCATTAGTCATTGTTTTCATTGAAAGGCTACTGATTTGATTGCATTGCAACCGCTATTGCAGGAGCAGACTGCACTGAGGCGTAGAACTGGAGGTTACTGGAGACGTGTTTTAGAACCCACCGTGTCATTTGTTGTAATTGTGATTATAGATCTGTTAGTTCTTGCTTGCTTGTTGATTCCTCTGTGTTCACGCTTATGTTCGAGTTAGTTCATTATGCAGTCCGAGGGGCTGGTGTCTAGCTGTCATTGATAGTGTCGCAGGAAGGATTTCGAGTAACTTCATTGATATTTCTTTTGTATTATTGTAGTAGTTAGTACTTTATTGAATAAACTAAGTTGTTATGTTTAACACTGTCTTTTCGTTACACCCCACACATTATTATTGTTATGCAAGTGTTCTTCACACTCGACTATAAAAATTGAGACTGATTCAGAGTTGTGGACCAAATATACGGCACCACACAACAATACATTATTGTTGTGAGAGCCCAGGACCTACTCGTTAGATTCCCTTCGGCGAATGACGAAGGTCCAAGTAGGGGGGGGGGGGGATTTCCATTTTTATTGGGGTCTCGGCGTTTGCTCGCGCCTAGTCAATTGTTCATATATGGTCCCAAAGTTAGGAATGAGCTGCTTACTACACTGGTGTGTTAGCTAAGCAAGTCCTTCCTCAGGCGACCTAATTGAATATCACGACAGGAATAAAGGCTAAAGAATAAAGAAAATTCTTTGAAATTTTCCGAGCTCAATTCCTTATACCAATTTTATTTATTCCACTTCATAAACTCTCACAGTTTTATTGTCATAATATGGTTTAAATTGTCTTTCCACTTGCGTTCTCTCCATTGTGACTGGCTCTTTTACCCTGGACACAGTTTTAATGACACCCGGATCTAGACAGCACTGAGAGAGCTTAGACAGCACTGAGAGAGCTGTCTTCTCCAATCTGACAGACTCAGACGTTACAATCAGCATCATCCGGACCTCATTGTCCATGGGGATATTTGTTTAGCTTTCCACTTTCATGAAAATTAGGCTGCTCAGCACTCGGGACACAGTGTGGCCAGTGTTCAGATACACAGAGAGAGCAGTAACTTGGGCAGAATGATTGGTAACAAATTTATATTTATATTTATTATGACTTTAATATGATGGTAATTTGTTTACATAAGACGATGAATGCCAGTAAACAGATAAAGGATTAGTCACACATCTCAACTATGTAGACAGAAGCCGGTGATCCAAGAGTGTAGGTGTGATGGCAATGCCAGCGGTCTCCAAAAGGCATCACGGCAGTGAATTTATCTGGCAGGAAGACCCAGAAAACTGAAATACGTTGAGGTAACCGCAACGGCCCAGATGGTTACTGGATGTGTATGGCTTGGCACCACCGGCATCACCAGAGCACGACGACACCTGTGGCAAGGTCAGCAAGGTTTAGTGGGATGAAGGAAGTCCGTACATAGTCAAGAGAAGCTCTAAGGTGGCACAGAGGTCAACAAGGCTCACTGTGATCAGAAAACTCTGTACATAGTCAACACAAGCTGGAAGGTGTCACTGAGGTTAAGGCAGCATGAAGGTCAAACAGCACAGAGGTCATGATAGGTAACATTGTCATTGTAAACATTAAATAATTGCATATAGTATGGAATAAGAGAAGGCTCTTATATTAAAGTGTTTAATTACACTTGCGTTGAGTAAAGTGTGACTGAACAATATATTGTTTTATTAGTTAATTTATTGCGCTCCTGCAATATTTTATGATGGTATTATGGTCTACAAAGTTACACGTGACTCGAAGAAATCGAGTCATCTGTTTATCTGAAGATACTTTGGGTAAGGTCGAAACTGATAACAAAATGTGAAGAATTAAATGGATTATTGCAACCCAACCTATTTAGGTACTATTTATAGTAACGACGACCACCATCGTACATACATTGACGTAAAGGAGAAATAGAAATTAGAAATCGCTACTACTGAATTTGGACAAACCGGAAAAGGTTTTGTATTGATGTTACAGAGAAAATTTACCCTAACCTAACCATCCTTTGCCTAATACACGCTATCTGAGGCCTAATATAGTACATATGTGTGCTATACTAGGCCGAGGAATATTTAGGCTTGGTTTTTACCTTTATTTTTTATTTTTTGATGGAGTGGGCCGGGGGTGGGGCGGAGGGGGCACTGTAAAGTGAATAGTACCCTATAATTGTCCAATAAGTCTAGGTATGTTCGATGGTCCACATAGTTACACAAAGTACTATATAAATAGGAGGATGGGTTGAGTATTGACATCATACACAGAAAAAAAATCCATTAAATATTATTGTATAGCCGTTTCCCACCGACGATTACGGTGGAAGAAGGAAAGTGATGGGGACACGCTACCTTTAAGAGCACGAAGCTTGTTACCATTAACAGAAGACTCGTGATCCTGCCAATGGGCACGGATTAAGGATCAAATAACTGGGTAGAAGTCGAAAAAAGGAACACCTTTGCCAGAAATGGAACTAGTGTGGATACAAGGAACAAATGGAACAAGAGCCTCCTTTGCGGCAGCAACCGCAGGTTCATTTAAGGATACACCAATAAGGCTGGGAACCCAGCAAAACTCGACTGTCTTAAAACTGCTGGAGATAAGAAACAGCCAATGTTGAATTTCTACGACAACAGGATTAAAGGTCTCCAGAGCCATGAGGGCACTGCGAGAGTCAACTACAACAACAAAGGAAGATTGACACCGAGAAAGCAATTGACGAAGACCATACAAAATTGCATAAAGTTCGCCCGAGAAGATGCTATCTCAAGGGGTAGGCGAAACATATAGGTGTAGTCAGAATATACAACGGAGTAGCCTACACCGTCGGCCAGACAGACCCATCGGTGAAGACGGAAATGGAGCGGGAATATGAAGAAAAGAGTGCAAGGAAAAGGCGTTTCAGAACTGTAGGAAAGGCAAAAGCTTTCTGTCATGTGGGTCAAGGTTCCACAAAACTTAGGAAGAGGGATCCTCTGTAGGGGAACGACACGAGGAGAAATATTGGTAACACAAACCGAGAAAGAACCTTACAAGCGAGACAATCATACAGAAAGAAGAAGGTGGTGAAAGGGAACAGAGGCCCACAGGAGGGTTAATGGTCAAAGTACGACATAAGCATAAGTGAGGGTGTTTTAGGGACAGCGCAGAGTACCAAAGACAGTAGCGATCACGACGATCTTGTAGAGACAAGATGTCGGTTTCAATACGCAGGCTCTGGGTAGGCACCAGAGCTGAGGCGTAGCCCAGTATGGTGAAGAATATCAAGACGACGAAGAGTTGAGAAAAAGGCAGACGAGTAAGCATCACAGCAATAATCGAATTTCGATAGCACGAGAGAAGAATGTAAAGACAGGCGAGTCCGCCTATCAGCTCCCCAGGAAATATAGGACAAGACCTTAAGTAAGTTAAGGGCCTTAGAGCATACAACACGGAGGTAAGTGATATGGTCAGGGTTACCAAAACAAACGAGTGTCAAAGATTATCCCCAGTAGTTTAGCAAAATCCTTTTACAAAAGAGGATTAACATAAAGCGACAGAGGGAGTCGAAGAACGAAGCCATGATTAGTGGTCAAGGACGATACATCATCAATCGCAAGTTGAAGCTGCCGTTGGAGCAAAGGCGAGTCATCACCGTGACAGCAGAGGGTAAGATCTTCAACATAAAGAGCAGAGATAATGTCGAAGGGAAGGGAGGAAAGAAGACCATTGAGAGCAACCAGAAAAAAGAGTAGTGCTCAGAACACTACCTTGGGGCACACCTTCGTATTGCCGAAAAGAGGCAGAGAAAGCGATACCAAGCCTAACTCGAAAGGAACGACGAGTGAGGGAGATTACCACGAAGGCCAAAACAACGTAGTTGGGAATGAATATTGTATCTCCACATGGTGTCATAAGCCTTTTCCGGGTTCAAAAAGGACTGCAACCCTGGAGGTCTTCGCAGCAAAGACAGTACGAATAGAGATCTACAAGTTCAAAAGGTTATCAGTCGTGCTGCGACACTTATGAAAGCCAAATTGAGAAGAGGAGAGGAGGTGATAGAGTTCCAAGAACCACATCAGACGGATATTGACCATACGTTCAAAGAGTTTGCAGACGGCATTATTTAGAGCAATGGGGCGGAGGTCTTAAGGGAATGACCCTAGAGAACCAAGTTTACGAATAAGAACATCCGTCTCAAGCCAGTCCTCAAGGACTGACGACGACTCCCAGACACAGTTATAAACAGTCAGTAAATACTGAAATGTGCATGGAGGGAGGTGGTGAAGCATGTCATAATGAATATCATCTGATCACGCCGCTATAGAACCGAAGAGGGCAAGGGCAGAATGGAGTTCTGAGAAAGAAAAAGAGAAAGGATCGCTATAGGGAAGCTGAAGACGAGTGTTGAAAATCTAACGGACAAGATTCGAGAAGGGACTTACGAGTAAAGAAAGAAGGAAGATGAGTACCGAAGGAAATAAGGGAATTATCAGGGGGAAAGCGCCAAGCCATTACGACTATATAGCACTTGGAAGGGATCAGGATAATAATTTGGGATGGGACAAAGGCAAGGAATGGTGACCAACCGCTTAGACGGTCGGGGATTGAACGCCGACCTGCATGAAGCGAGACTGTCGTTCTACCTTCCACACCAAATGGTTGGACATTGAGAACTGGAGTTAATAGTCGAAAAGTGTGAACCCAGTTCGATCCCGACCGACACTGGATCTGCCACAACAGAACCACAAAGGTGAAGGACTGGCGGGACATCTGGAACAAACTTAACTGCGCGCTATCATGTGGATTTTCTTCCAGATTAAGGACAGTGGAGTGTCAGATGTAATGGTGGAAACGAAAGGTCTCGAACCCATACTCTAAGCTGTACGGATGTCTGTATAGGCCACTGTACTCGCTTTCTGAAACAAAGTAAAAGAATTGGGCGTCCGTCGGCGACGGTGCTTCTTCCAGACTGCACGCTTACAGGGGACAGTCCGAGCACAGTCAACATTCCACCAGGGAACACACTTCTGCCGTCCCAGGAGATAGAGCAACGAACAGACCAGAGGGCACCATCAAAATCTGTGTCATGAAAGAGGAGGAAGGCTTGGGGAGAGGCAGATCAGAGAAGTCGGAAAGAGTAGCGCATAAGCTGAAGAGGTTCCAGTCAGACTTGGCAAACTGCCACCATGGGAAGGAGAGGAGTGAATGAAAAGGGAAGGCGACAAGGATGGGAAAATGGTCATTGTTATGTAGGTCATCAAGAACCCGCCAGGTGAAGTCCAAATGAAGAGAAGACGAGCAGAGAGAAAGATCAAGACAGGAAAGGGTGCAAGAACGGGAATCAACATCAGTATGCTCACCAGAATTCAGAAGAGACAAACAAGAGAGGACAAATGATTAAAAAAGGCGGCCCGGGTGTTCGTCAGAGCATCACCCCAGAGGGTATGCCGACAATTAAAAATCACCTAAAAGGAGATCAGGCTCTTGTAAGGAGTCCAACATGTCTTTAAGATCAGGAAGAGAAAGCTGGACATTTGGGTGGAGGATAAATGGAACAGACTATAACGAAGGAATATCCTAATGGATCCAGGGCACAGTAGAGTTATGGGACCCAGCAAAAGCTGGAGAGGGAAAGAAAGAGAGGAATAACAACTGAAGTAAGCTGGACGAACCCCAAGTATCGGCTCCTGGAGACAAACACAAAGCTGTGAAAAATGCGTGATCAAAAGTTGGAGGTGTCGTGGAAGTTGGCATAAGAACCACGAATATTCCATTGAAAAACAGGTATTGACAAAAAAGAGAGAACATAAACAGAGATAACAACGGTGAAACAAGGGCAAAGAAAAACACAGTAGACTATGGAAGATCAGGACTAGGATCAGTGAAATTGGGATGATGGGGCATAGGCAAGGCTAGCAAAGATAATGTAGGCAAAGGAGTGGGAGGATGGACCAGAGATGGACTGACAGAATCCGGAGTGGGAGGAGGCATCGGAGAAGGACGGTCAAGGCAATCGGGGACAGGAAGGACAGAAACAGGAAAGGGAACCGGATCAAGGGCAGCAACCAAGAGAAGATCAAGGACCAAGGAAACCTTTGTAGCAGGAACATATGACTCTGCCATTGACATGGGGAGGGGTAGCAGGAATAGTGTCAGAGTCGAAAGGTGAGGAATATATTTAAGCCTTCTTATCCGCCAGGAAGGAAGAAGGAGAAGAACTATGCTTACGTTTCTGGCGTAGAGACAGGCGTACCATCAGCAATGTACTGGACAACCGTCTCAACAGTTTTAACACGAGAACGTGAGCGGTCAACGTGAAGAGCGCTGGGAGGAGGATGGACAATAGCCCGAACAGATAGTCGGTGAGGAGGGCCAAGAGACCAAGGGGGAGGAC